TTCGACTGCGCGTGTGGAAAAATCGGTCTACGGCTGAATCTAACGAAGACGATGTTCATGAGAAACGGATTGGTTTCTGATGCCCCATTCACGCTTCAATATGAAATGACTTAGCTCCAGAGCTGAGCAGGAGGAAGCGAGCGGCTTGGGGAGCCTTCAAGAACATCGAGGGAGTAGCGAAGAAGACGAAGAACACCAAGCTCCGTGCCCACCTCTTCGATTCCGCGGTCCTTCCTGCCTTGACGTACGCCTCAGAGACTTGGACTCTACGAAAGCAGGATGAGCATGCGGTCGGCGTTATTCAACGCGCCATCGAAAGGGCGATGCTCGGAGTTTCCCGCTACACGCAAGTGAGAGAGGGAATCCGGAGCTCCGCACTCCGCCAACGATCGAAGATCAGAGACGCCGCCGCTTTTGCCAAGGTTTCGAAGATCAGGTGGGCCGGGCATGCGTTTCGAGGACGACCGCTGGACCAGAGCGATCACCGACTGGATTCCACGGGATGTCAAGCGAACGCCTGGACGACCGCCTATGCGATGGTCAGACTTCTTCGTGAAAGCTCTGAACGAATGGTATGAAGTTCATCGTGTCCCTCGAGCAGAGAGAGTTCATTGGGCAACTCTTGCACGTTGCAGGGACGAATGGAGACGTTACTGGCGCCCGCTCGAGGAACTCGATGATCAACGGGAGCACAGGTGATACAGGTGATACGCCCCCCCCCCCTCCCACACCTCCCTCCTATAGAGTAGAGGTGGTAGTGTGATGAAAATGTATATAGCGGTGGACAGAATATAAAGACTTTCACCTGTCACCAACTCGAGGATGATATAAAGTGGCTGTTCGTCTACTGCAACACCATATATGCGAACGATGTTTTTGTGCTTGAAGTTACGCATGAGCCGAGCTTCTTTCATCATTTCCTTGATTTTTGCTTTACATAAATCAGATGATCCTTTTGTCTGGAATGATACTACTATACTATGCTATATATAGTGTAGTTCGCTGCGGACGGTTGGGCGTGTCAGGCGGGATGAGTTTGGCGCGGTGCCAAACCCGTTCTCCACCAGTTGTTAAGCGAGCAAGTGATATGACTGTATCATATCGTTCGTATTACTCGTTTTCTACCACTTTTTGTCGCATGCGCGCTTCAACAAGAAGGCAGAGAACGGCTTCGACGGGTGCAC